TTAATTATTTTTATATATTTTCAAGTGAAAAAAAATCTTTACCGCATTTACAAATACATTTTATATAAATACTAATAAATTTTTATTTATTTTGGGGTAAATTAAAATATACTAATAAACTTTTTTTAATTTATTTTAATTATATTAATAATTATTCAAGGAGGACAAAAAGCTCATGAATATTTTTTTTTAATCTCAAATGTACGAGTAATTTTCTAAAACAAAATTTTTCAAAAGTTCTATGCTTGTTAAGTGTTTTTTTTTTTCAGGGTTGTTTGAAAGTAAAATATAACTGTTTTTAATTAAAATTTAATTTTTTTATCATATATTTTAGTTTGGATCTATGTTTTATTTAATAGTATAATTACTTTTTAAATAATTTTTTATATTAAAATATATATTAATAATATTTTTATTATTTTTTAAAATTATTTTAAATATCAACTCATTAAAATGATTTAAAAATATATTAATTTAAAATTAATAAAAAAAAATTAAATTTTTTTAAAATATTTTTTAGGCCATGTTTGTTTCCCGGAAAACAGTTACCGGGAAACCACTTTCCAAATTTTCCCGTGTTTATTTGTCATTAGAAAAGTTGGTCAACGAAAAATATTTTTAGGTCAACAAAAAACATTTTCCAGTCAACGAAAAACACTTTCCGTCAATGAAAAACACTTTCTGGTCAACGGAAAACACTTTCTAGTTAACGAAAATATTTTTTAGTCAAAAAAAATTTGGCTTGGTTTTTAGAAAAGTGTTTTCCTTTTTGGCGTTTATGAAATGTTAATTATTATTATTTTAATTTCTTCATCTTTTTTTTTATATTTGATCTTTATTTATTTTATTTGAGATAATTTATGAAATTATTTTTTTTTCAATTTCATTATTATTCAACTTTTTAATTTGTAAAATTTATTTCTTATTATTTTAATAAACTTGAGAAAAATAAAATATTAATAAATTATTTTCCAATTTATTTTTCATAATATAACCAAATACTGGAAAGTATTTTCCAGTTCATTTTCCAGAACACTATTAAATATCAGAAAATACTTTACTTTTTAAAAATTTATTTTTCTTAAAATTCACTTTTTTAAAATTCATTTTTTCTAAAATTCATTTTTAAAAATTTTTTTTTTCCTGTAAATAAACATATCCTTAACTTATAAACAAATAGCAATTAGACTGCTGCTGAGGCGCTGTGATGCGGTGGTGGTGCGGTGATGTGGTCTGGAAGAGAGGGCAGAAAAAAGGATTTCGGCTGAGGAGAGGAGAGAGGTTGTGTTGTTGACAAAGATAAGGACACGCGCGTCTTCGTCGCATATAAAGTGTAATTTTTGAGAAAAATAAATATTATCTTGCTAGAAATATTGGACATTCTTAATAATTTTCCGATTTGTTTTTATCAATTAAAAAAAAAGGGTGAGATGGAAAATCACGAGGTAGACTTTGTATATATTTATAGTTACAGATTGACTTTGACCTTTCCTTTACAGACAAATTAAAAAGAATCCGATTTCCCTTAATCTCCACACCCTCTATTCATTGCATCCCTCCCTCCCTCCCTCCCGCCTTCTTCTTCTGCTGCTGCTGCTGCTTTATTTTTTTGTTATTTTCTTTTCTTTTCCAGTAAAGAAAATGGGAGCTAGCAGCGACCCAAATCAAGACGGGTCGGACGAGCAACAAAAACGATCTGAGATCTACACATACGAGGCACCATGGCACATCTTCGCGATGAACTGGAGCGTCCGCCGTGACAAGAAGTACCGCCTTGCCATCGCCAGCTTCCTAGAACAGTACCCAAACCGGGTCGAGATTGTTCAGCTGGATGACTCCAACGGAGAGATTCGATCCGACCCGAACCTGTCCTTCGAGCACCCTTATACACCTACAAAGATCATTTTCATTCCAGACAAGGAGTGCCAAAAACCTGACCTCCTCGCAACCTCCAGCGACTTCCTGCGCGTGTGGCGCATCAACGATGAACAGCCGCGCGTGGAGCTCAGAAGCCTGTTAAACGGCAACAAGAATAGCGAGTTTTGCGGGCCTTTGACTTCCTTTGACTGGAACGAGGCGGAGCCTAAGCGAATTGGGACATCCAGCATCGACACGACATGCACCATCTGGGATATCGAGAAGGAGACTGTTGATACACAGTTAATCGCTCATGACAAGGAGGTAAACGACATCGCATGGGGTGGTGTTGGGGTTTTCGCTTCGGTTTCAGTGGACGGGTCGGTTAGGGTTTTCGATTTACGGGATAAGGAGCATTCAACGATAATCTACGAGAGTTCGGAGCCCGACACGCCTTTGGTTAGGCTGGGTTGGAACAAGCAGGATCCGAGGTACATGGCCACGATAATCATGGACAGTGCGAAGGTTGTGGTGTTGGATATTCGCTACCCAACTCTTCCAGTGGTGGAATTGCAGAGGCATCATGCTAGTGTTAATGCTGTTGCTTGGGCCCCTCATAGTTCTTGCCACATTTGTACTGCTGGGGATGATTCACAGGCATTGATTTGGGATCTTTCTTCGATGAGTCAGCCTGTCGAGGGTGGATTGGACCCCATTCTTGCTTACACTGCTGGTGCTGAAATCGAGCAGCTGCAGTGGTCGTCTTCGCAGCCTGATTGGGTTGCTATTGCATTCTCTACCAAGCTTCAAATTCTCAGGGTTTGATCGAATTTGCTAGGCAGGACTTTAGTTTTTCCGTGTAGAACCTCCGTTGTGGTAAAAGAAAACGAAAAATAAAAACGCTGAAGTTAGTTGTTGCTATCTGACTGTTATTTTAAAAACAAACTTCTTAATCTTTCTTTCTTTCTTTCTTTCTTTTTTTATGCTAGTGGTTTGTGTATCTTACTACTAGTCTTGTGTCTTTACCCCCTTTGATTTGCAAAAATTAGGAAACTGAACCAGCTCGTTCAATAATCTAAAGAAACTTGGACTAGTAGAGTAGGAAAAAGGTAATTTGTGGTTCAAGTATCAATTGCCGGATATCGATTAGGATGAAGAGAAGTTATTATATTGAATTTCTGTTCTCTCCTTAGATTTTCGTGGAGGCGGCTCGCAGCTATGGGCTGCTATGCTTTATAGTTTACATGATTTCCTGCATTATGGTCTTTATGTCCCTTCCTCTCTGTTATCTTGTTGTAGAAGAGACAAGCTTTTGTGGGATATTACCATTATGATTTATGATTGTAGCTGAAGTTATTCTGAATTGAAGAATTCAAGATTTTCTTTCGTGTGGTAAGATGAAGATTGGTTGCAGTTTCAAATGTAGGAATTGTTGCTTGATACTTTGCGCAATGAAGTGATTAAGGACCATACCACAACATAAATTTGGTCATGCAATGAATTAGGCATTTCAGACTAGTCTTCTGTAACTGTTAGAAGTGCAATTGGGTAATGTATTGGAGATTTTTCAATGTTGAGCAGTAGCAGCAAGTGTTATCTTCGTATCATCTGATCTTGCAATGCTCTTAAGCTTGCCATTTCTCACTAGTTTAGTGTTCCTCAGTACAGATGTAGGTCTGGCAATGTTACATTATTGTGATTGAGGTATGGGTGGGATATGTTGGTTTTAAATAAGGCTGTTATATGGATGGTGTGGGGAAATTGTTTTCGGTCAAGGGGGTGGAGCAAATATTTTGTCACTTGCATGCTAACATTGTGACGGACAGCCTTGGGATAGCATCAATAGCTGGTTAGATGAGTCAGATAAGGTTTGTTGGATATATGCAGGTTGGTCTAGTCAGTTCACTGTTAGAAGGGGACTGCAATTATATATTTCAGTTTTGTTTGTTTGTTTTTGTGTTTTAAAAATACTTTTAAAAAAAATTGAATTTTTTTATTTAATTTAAATTAATGTGTTTTTGGTGTTTTTAGATTATTTTGATATATTGATGTTAAAAATGATTTTTTAAAAATAAAAAATATTATTTTTATCTATTTTCAAGTGAAAAATAATTATAATTATATTTCATTATAATTATATTCTAAAACACTTGAAGCATTTTAAAAAGCAATCAAAATAATTGTAACTATATTCTTAAATACTTAAGAGCAATAGGAAGGTTGGGTTGGCAGCTCTAGAACGGGGTCATGCGGTTGGCGGCATTCAACTTTGTCACCATCAACATTATATATTTTGCTATTTCTGTTATTGCTGCTGGCAATTGTGGATAATCTTACTCTAGATGGTCTCTGTTTTATGTTTTCTTCTAGATTTGTTTTGAAATCTCCCAAAAGCTCTGTTTCCTCTCATTAATGTCTTGTAGTAAGATGGTGTATAGATCCAAACCAGAGTGCTGTAACCATGGCTTGACTTTGGCACACGGATATGAACTGTTGTATATAGTTTGCTGCTCTCTTTCATAATAGACAAATCCAGGAATAGCAATTCTGCCCACCTCTAATGAGTCCATCTTTACTGTTTGCTTGAATAGCTAACCCAGAATATGCTGGCATATTATATTTTATGGTTGTCTAGCTTGATTTGAATGTAAAATGTCTTTGCAACTCGGTCAAAATGTTTCTATTCTACAGAAGTCCCAAGTGCCGGAATTTGTTCCAAAGGCGGATTAGAGGTGGAAAATGACCACCTTCATTAGTTAGATTTGGTATTCGCTTTTGTTATGGGAACTTAAGCTAAGATGGAATGTTTTAGTGCAACTTTTTCAATAAACAATTGTGGCTTTTGCTCAGCAATAATATTTACCGGGAAATTGAGATGCCTGTAGCTGTTGGCTATATTAAATCGAAGGGAAATAGGGATGCCTCTAGCTGTTCACTATATAAAATCGAAGGAATCATCTATTAGTATTTTTAAAAACCTTGCTGAAAGAACGGCCTCAACTTCATACAAACCCTGAACAAGTCATCTGTTATACGCATCACTTTTGGTCTCGGCCTTGGAAGAGATTGGGGACCAGGATTCCTCCAAAATGGTTCCTGGAGGCTAGTGGGAGTGAAGCAGAGCAGAGCTTTGTAAACATCCATGGATAAAAAACCTGAAGAGAGATGAGCTCAAAGTAGCTGGGAGAAAGTTTCAAGTATTACAGTAATTTGCATAAGAAAAGTTCTATTTGCCTGAAAAGAAGAGAAAAAAACAAAAAAAAACACAAAAATAAGAAAGAAAGAAACTCAATGGAAGGACTACAAAAATGCTAGCTAACTATCCCATTCAGTTGAGTCAATGCGAGTGAGCTGGTCACCCCTGCTGATCTTCAGTGCATGGTGCGGAGGTCTCACATCACATGGCATCCCACAGTATTTTCATCGCTGAAGTAATCCTCAACTCTTACTGTTGGCGTCTGGACTGGTGGTTGAAATACTGGCCTCTCGTAAAGGAGGTATTCCTGACCAAAACCTGTGGGGTTGACAGGAGGAACAGTGTATGAAGGAATGGCATAAAAGGGAAGTGCAATTGCGTAAGGCTCAACCTTGTAACAATATTGATTGCAAGTCCTGAAATTGCTGACTTCTGGATGTGGGGGGACAGGATTTTGACTTTTAACCACTTCAGGATTGCTAGACTTAACGCTGACTTCTGTCTCATTATAGTCCTTTGAAGCTTTATTCTCACCTCCATCCCCACCATTTTTAGTCTCTCTGTTCTTGTCAGTTACCTTGACACATGAATCTGAAGACTTTGTTTGCTCACACTCGGATTTTGACTTATCTTTCTCTTTTTCAACCAGCATGTCCGCTTCTTTCTTTTCTTTTCCCGCATTCTGATTCCCACTACTCCACAGTTCTGCTTGTTTTCCAGTTTTCAAGAGTCTTTTGATTAAAATTTCTGGATTCACATTTCCCAGGACTGTCACCTTGGGATGCAGTGGATCGATTTCGGTCTTTAGAACACCTGAAACCAAAGTTTCATCCAAATTAGCCTGGGAGGGGGAGGAAAGACTCTTCACGAAAAATGGACACGAACTTTCTGAGTCACTACTCTTTTCATTACCTTCAACACCTTGCAAGGCCTTTTTAACTTTCCTCTTGCAGCCATCACAGCAGTTGACAGATACCTTGAGCTCAATCTTCTGAAGTGAAGTAAAAAGAAATTGGTTTTAGACCTTCCTTGTTAGCGAGGTATAAATCAAAAACAAGAAAGCTAAGGGGATTCTAAGTGTACAAAACTGAAGAAACATGCACGTGGAGATGTTTTCAAGAATTTGAACCTTCAATTCTGCTTCCCTAGCCATGAATCCTGTGCTGACCTAGGCCTGTCACCAGAGTAAAAGCTGGAAGCCTAGGGCTATAAACCACCCGAGAGGAACAGAACAAGGATGAGGTTTTTGCCTGTCCTTGTTAAATGTTGAAGCTGTATTTATATGCAACAAAATGTATCATATCAGGTGGGGTCAACACCAGAATAATGCTGCTGATTTAATAGCCTTCCCTTTTGTATATTAATATAATTATTTTTTATTTTTTTAATTAATGGTAAAATTGGAAAAATATAGATTAAAATAAAAAAAATATGAATGGTGCCATAAGTTTACAAAGAAATATATATTTTGATCCTCTAACTTCAAAAATAATATATGTCTTTCCATTGCTGTTGTTCCAACGCAAAAGCACTAAGAGGTAGCTTTCTCTGAAAGCAAAACACATGCAACTTCACCCCTTCTTTGAATGTTCACAGATGCTTTGCTCTACTGCCATTCCTCTAAACAACGTCACGGTGTAGTGCTTAAGACACTGCTTTAGCTGATGTTGCCGCATAGATATTCTCCGAGGTACAGGTGTTGATCGAGATCTCACACAGCTTAGCCTGGCAGCCATTTTCCCGTCTTTCTGGTATAAAAGACAGGGACTAGTTTAGGACGTGGCATTTGGGAGGACAGGATTGTATAAATTTTAATTCGAGGGGGCATTTTGTAGAACTCATTTAAAATCATATGCAACCTCAGGGGGGATTTCGAAAATCTTCAAAACTTTGGGAGGCCAAGGCCACACCAGACCCCAAAATCGTCCTTCGTTATGGAGATGATCAGCATGGGGGGAGTCTTTGATGCCAAGAAAATTTTACTCAATTACCTATTCCTAAATAATAATAACATGAAAAATAATAATAACTTGTTTTCACCGCAACTTATAAATAACATCTCAGCAACTTCTATGTCAATTTCACCGAATTTCCATAACCAACACAACCACAATACAAAGTTATTACAAACATTACATTATTTTTATCAAGTGTTTATAGGTACAACTTGGATGGATTAAAAATTAAGAATAGAAATATGGGGGAGAGCTGTAATCGGAATATCAAAAATAAAAGCCAGCAAGATTAAGTTATTTTATATAAACAATGCTTTAAGGATTGGATTAAACGGGGAATACATATTCAAGTTTTGTTATCTCCTTTTCAAAGATATCATATCTGAAATTTATTATTTTGTATTTGAAAATATAATAATAATTATTTTTTAAAGTGATTTTTGAATAGAAAATCTATTAAAACATTTCTTTTATTTTTTAAAAATTATATTTTACATAAAACATAAAAACAACCCATAAAAATAAAAATAAAATCTTACTAAAAAATTAAATTTTTTTAAAATACCATTTCAAATACCTTCTACAAAAACTACAGATACCTTTGAGCATGAAAAAGATTTAACTTATCTTCATATAAAAAAAGGTATATGTGCTATTTTAAATTTATTATTTTGTATTCGAATGTGTAGTAGTGGTTATTTTTTAAAATATTTTTTTAGCTATAAAATCTATTAAAATATTTTTTTATTATTTTTTTAAATTTATTTTTGACATAAAACATAAAGACAATCCATAAAAATAAAAAATAATTTTAATAAAAAAATCAAAATTTGTAAAAAATACCATTTCAAACACCTTCTAAAAAAACTACATTGAGCATGAAAAAGATTTAACTTATGTTCATATAAAAAGAAAGCATATGTGCTATTTTAGACCTATCTTGATTGATATGCTCTTTTTATTTGGGTGGATTGTATAAAATTTATCTGAAAAATATTTTTACCGTCAAGAAAAAAAAAGAAAAAAATTACGAATAAAAATAGATTTGAAGCAAAACATAAATGTGATTCTCTCGGACGGTTACGCTCTCTGCTTGATTCGCTTGCCTTTAGCTTTATTTCTTGATCATGGAGATCATATGTACAATCAATCACGAACCTTTAGCAGCGAGGAGGGGGGCCAAAAAAAAGATTTCAGAGAACGAGGACCGTACACGTGGAATTATTGACCTAAAATATGAAGCTAAAAGACCGAGGAACCGATGCAGTCCAAGCTGGTTTTCCAGATAACTGCTGCGTCTGTCGATGAAGTGAATAAATTAATAAAAAGAATCGGAGACCAAGATGATTCCTTGTATTTATGGGGCGTTGAACATGGCTTTGCTGCTTGTAGCTTTGAATCATATCAATTGTTTCTAGGGTTAACCAGAGCTGGTGAGATGGGCAATTGGCCACCATGAAAATTCGACATGTCTCTCCTCTTCTTTCTTTAAAATTCAGTGTAACCATCTAGGTGGTGGCCAAGTGATAAGGATTTGGGATCAAGAGGTTTGCTCCCTCTGTGGTCTTAGGTTCGAGTCCTTGGTTACTCATATGATTGCCACTGGAGGCTTACATGGTCGTTAACTTCAGGGCCCGTAGGATTTAGTCGTGGTGCGCGCAAGCTGGCCCGGACACCCACGTTAATCTAAAAAAAAAAAAAAAATTTGGTGGAGCTTTAAATCCTCACCTCACTTGTTGCATGAATTCAGATTTTGAACCCCCCCCCCAAAAAAATAAAATTAGCAGATGGAACTGTGATTTCTACCATGGCAGCCATTCCATCAAGAATATAATGGATGAAACTATTATGCCAAACAAAAAAGATTCTGCTGATGATAATCTCATTGATAAATTCACCTAATCTTCACCTAAACCAGTGACAGTTGCCAACAATTGCTCGATGAACTTTATCGCATATAAATACTTAGATAACGAATGATTGCTAGGTCGATCTGGATTTTTGGATCATAATGATTAAGACACTACAACACACTTGTATATCCTTAGTTATAATGTTGGAGATATTGCAAATCCAATTTTATCAGTTCCACCAGTAAATCTAACCTCCAACTACAAATCTGGATCGAGTACTAGATAAATCAAATAAGCATCCTCATGTCTTTTATGTAATTAAGTGTTATATATTTCTGGGAAAAAAGCCATCAAATATTAAAAAAAACCTAAAAAATATGTTTAAATCCTATTTACCACGAACTTCTTGACTCGGCTATTTATAAGCTACTGCATCTCTTTCTGTTTTTCTTTATTCTACATGTGAATTTCAATAAGAAGCTTCATTGATTTTGGATCGTGCCCCAGCATTGTAGCATGTAAAAGAAAGATATTGTTGGTCAAATATTTTTATATAATACAACAATTTAAAAAAAAAGTTATCATATAAAACAAAATCTTACCATTCATTTTGTATGAGAAATAAATAAAATGGATTCACCGATGTGTGTGGTCATGAAAACATAAATCTCCTTCATTCGATTCTCTGAACTAAATGATGATCTCCTTAAGAAACACTCTGACATAATGTGTTAAAGATAAGCACCCAAATACCCTCCATGATGATCTCAGGTTTGAAATCCCTCTACACGGCCATGTCTTCTCAGCTTGAAAGACTTTTATCTTTTGCATACTTTTTTGCTTTTTTCTAGGCATCTTATTACAAATCACGCAACCCGATTCATAAAAAAATTAAATAAAATAACAAAAATAAAATTTTAATATTTTTTTAAATATCAAAATTTAAATTCAATCTTACCTAATTAATGACATTGTGATTCTCCCATGCTCACCAGGCTACATCATTGTTAGCCTCCCCATAATAAATTTTTCCCTTATATGTCAATTTTATAAAATAATTAGTGTATTGAAATTAATAAACTAGTCAAATTAAATAATAAAAATTATTTGTTTATATATATATATATATATATATATATAAATAACAACCTTGAACTTTTCGAATCAAGTATCAATTATAGGTTTCATTCAAGACTCTTGGAAACCTGACTCCATTACAATAAAAACACTTCCATTAATAATTTTATCTTTGATGTTATTGTGTGAGCAACCTCAATATTTGTAAATCTGAATTTCAATTCGTTCATTAAAATTAATTACTCAAACTTTATCCATTGTTTTTTAATTTTTTATTGTGTAAGAAAGAAAAACAAATTTATATGTTGTTTATATCAAAATAGGAAGGGGGTGTTGTTTTTTATAAAATGAAAAAGGAAGAAGAAGAAACAGGAAAAGGGAAGAGGGGGGGTCATGATGCTAATTATAACTTTAATATTATTGACAAATTCCCCGATGAAAATTAGCGACGGTAAATTATCATCGGTAATTTAATAGAAATATTGACATATTAGATTTGCCGATGAAATTAACGAGGGAATATCTGTCTATTTTTTTATTTTTTTAATTTCACCAATAATTCTCTCGGTATTCACCAATATAATTTTTTTCAATGGTTATTATTGAAAACAATGATGTAATTTTTCATCGGTAAGTTTCATTTTAATTTATCAATGACATTTTTTATATCGGTATTATCGTTGGTATTTGATAATTTTTTAATAGTGAGCTAAAAATACAAATTACTATAAATTGGAATAATGAAATGAATGTTTTTCATTTCTCAAACAAAATCAATTAACTTGTTTTGGAGATGATATATTCTTTTCCTCCTGTTTGGTCGATTATAATTAGATTAATTGGGGACAAGGTGGCCTTTTCATATTTTTAGCTCAATAAAATGACTTAAATACACTTATAAGAAAAAAAAAATAAGCATAACAAAATTACTAAATTACACTTAGGATAAAAAAAATAATTTGATTAAAAGGAACTTTTTCGTATTTTCATTTTGGTTATAATCAAGTTGATGAAAGGATAATTTAAAATTTTAATAAATATAAATATTACTTTTTAAAAATTTGCACTTACTAATGACTAGGAGAAACATGTGCTCTTCAGGCCAAATGCCTCCCTTTGCAATGATGTTGAAAGTGTCTTGACATCATTTTCATAGTTGTAATGCGTTTGTATAGGATGGTGTAGCAATTGCTCTCTAATGAACTTTTTTTTTCTTTCCTCCATTTTTTCTTTGTTCTTGCCTTAGGTTTTGTGCTAGTGCTTTTAAAAATTAAATATGTTATATTAGTTTGCATATATATTAATTTTGATTTTTCATTTTTTTAATTATTATTTGTTTTGTTTTTAATGCCTTTTAAAGTAGATTTTTTTTAAAAAAAATTTCATCCATTATCATTTTATTTCGTTTAATTTCTTTATCCAATTTATTCCTCATTCTTTTTATTTTTTT